TTGATGTGGCAATGTGCTCAAGAAGGATGCAGTTAGTGCTGGAATATATCCTTGACTAGACCATGGTAGCTCAGTGTCAGGGCTACCTAACTGGAACCACATCTGACTTTGTAAACCAGTAATTCTACTTACTTCAGCTGAAGTTGTGGACTTCCAAGGAAATTGAAGTAATGCTGACAGGGCATGCCACTATGGTGGTTAATTACCAAGGTTAATTCATGGAACTACCAAAGTCTTCATGCTAATGATGCTTCTACAGGACATCAAATAGCAGAAGAGATTGCTGAAGGTAACTAGTGGCTGGTTTTACAGATTGCTTCTCGTGCTACATGCGAATTGTCATCGTCTTTAATATTAGAGCCAGTATGGTCCTGTAATGTGTTTTGGGCCCAGAAGAAATGCAAATGATGAACCATCTTGAACAAAACAAGAATCTCTAGTAAATCTTTATCTTATCTGTCAGGGGCCTGGTGTATCTCTGAGCTAGGTTGCTTTACTCTAGATTGATCCAGGTATTCTACTGACACAGCAGCTTCTCAGAAAGGTCAGATTTCATTTTGCTCCCTGTAGTGTTCCACCTGAGTGCAGCAGGTCAGCTCTGCTTGCTGCTCAGCTATACCTTTGGAAGGAAAATAATGTGTAGAGCCATCTAACCTTAGCCATGGCATGTTGACCTGATACTGCTTCCATGTATCTGGGAAGTTCCACAGGTGGCACCAAGGTACTGTTTCTAAGAAGCCATTTCAGAGCTCAAGAAGGGAGTGCTTAGCCTGGATGGAAGAGTAAATTCTGACTTGTTGGCTCTCTCATTCATTACCTTGAATGGTAAGCTGAAAGTATCCTCCCAAAAAATGCTAGAGAAATATCTTCTTGTTTAATTGAGTTTTCAAGGTCTTTAAAGCTTCTCTAAGATTTTCTGGAATACAACTTGGAGAATTGGTCATTTTTACAGTTCTTAAAACACAGTAGGTCTACTGGTATTAAAGAATGTTTGAGATCCTTGAGTAACTGTTACAGTTCACCTTGATTCAAGTTTAAAAAATACTGTTTGTTCAGCTTCTGCTAGATTTCGATGCACTCTATAAAAATTGAATATATAATGAATGTTTTGCGGCTAAGGAAGCAGATATGATAGCACATCTTGTGTGCAAAGCTCTCTTGTGACTAAAGTTTATCAAGATTTTTTCAGTACACTGAACACGAGGGAAGAGGTCTTTTAGGAACTTCATTATGAGCAAGTGTTCATGCAGGTTTCTGTTCATGTAAATTGAAATACATTCCTATATCCCATCTTGTCATTTTGTTGCTGCTGTAGTTGAGTTAATCTGTTGTCATCCTCCTCAATTTCTCTCCTCTGCTCAGGGAGGCTCTTCACTAAGCTTTTTCCTTGAGGTCAGTTGCATCTTCTGCTTGAACATCACATCCAGTGTTCCACTGTAGTGCCAAACCTTTTATTGTGCTTCTCTGTTTGTTAAACTTAACACCCAGAAAAGAAACCATTTATTCTTCCTGGCAAACCTTTCTGAGGGATTAAGATATTTGTATTGCAAACTGAGTCCCCAACCCCCTGCTCGTTTTAGGAGGTGGTATGGGCTCAATGAAACAATCTGCTCTGCAGTGGCTCTATGCTCTCCTGTAAACTTAGCTTCAAAATATTTCAACCCTGTAAGTATACCCCTACTCTGACCTTCAGAAGTCATGTTATCCAATATATAAGCACATTCATGAGCCTATAAACTCTTAGGAGACTGGTTAATATCAAAACAAAGGCAAAACCTACACAGAGGCTTTTTTTTTTTTTTTTTGAGATATGGAGAATATTTTGGTGGAGGAGGGGATGGTGCAACTGAAGCACAGCAGTAATTGTATGTATAGGAGTTCTGTTTAGGCCATTAACACTATTCACTGCCATGTGTTTGCTGCTTGTTTGTTAATGTTGGAATTGAAATGTGGAATACACTGTTCTGAGATTAAGGTTTGGGGTTTAAATCTGAATCTTCAGACTGGATCACCATTATGCAGCTTCTACTTTTGGCTTTTTACTGGCCCTGTTGAAAATATTTAAGAATGCCTCTTTCCACTCCCCAACAAGAAGAACATTCATAATCTGGATAAAGCTGAATTACGAAGTGGCTTATTCAGTCCCGTGTTGCAGAACACGCTTGCGAGATACAGAAAAGTAATTTCTCTGATTTCTGCTGTTGTGTGTTTACACAGCATTGGTGCATGTGTGGCAATTGAAGAGTTTATTAAGCTATGGAATAGAAGGTTCTGGAAAAGCTGCCTCTTTGAAGAAACATGTTTTAATGGCTCTGTTTTAAGAGGAGCCTCTAAACTGGGCACCCTAATTTAAAAATTCCCTGAAATAAGGAGTGTTTCTCACAGACTCAGAAGTCTGATCTGACTTTCTGGGAACTAAATTCAAATGCTTAGGAAGCAAGTCTTGCATTTTCTTGAGTTTCAAGGGGAAAGCTGAACATGTAAAAAAAGTGAGCATATGCCTGCTGATGAAGTTCTGTGTGCAGAATCGCCTGTGATCAGCTGGGTTACACTCAAAGTCAATGTTGTAAAAATCTAGATTTCTTAACAGTCATTTGGTCATTCTGTAGAAGCTGTTGGAGCAAAGATTGAGTAATTTTCAACAATTTGGGGTTAATTCCTCCTTACTTCTCTAGCTTTTCTTGATTATGTGAGTTGCTGAATCTTGCGGATCTGGAAAAATAAATCATGCCCTGTTCTTAGTTTGCTTTTTCCCCTCACAAACCAGTTGCCTTTTTCTTATGGAATTCAAGAAATCTGTGAACACAGGTTCTGAAAATTTGATTTTCCAGACAATTTGTTTTGAGTTCACATTGCTTCAGTTTCTTTGATTCCTAATTAATTAATGATTCTTAGTGTCATGCTACCTCCCCCCAGGTAAACATGAGTCTTCAGCAAAAGTAAAGATCAGGAAAAAAGGAGCATATAATGATAGGTTGGTAGAGTTAGACTAATTTGAAAATTGATTTTTTATATTTTACGCTTTAATCCAAATGTCAGACTGTTGAGGTCTTATTCTTAAATAGTTTGAGATGAGATTTTTTTTGGTGGTATCTTGTTTGTCTTGCAGCCCACTCTAGTGAGCTCTTGTTATTTCAGAGGAATTGTTCTTAGGTATATTTTCAGCTTCTGTAAAATGTGGGAGGATCCTTGAAAAGGCTGCCTTATGAAATGCAGTTTTCATACTTCTACTGAAGGTATTGATTTCTGAAACTTGTGGTAACATTTGAAGCTGCTTTGCTAATTTGTCTGTTCTCAAGTAATCTAACAACTATTTAATTTTTCTTCCACTTTTCATTTCTTTTAGCTGGGATGTGACAGCAAACATAAGAAGAATGTTGAAACTTGATTTTCTCCTGCTTTTGGAAAAGTCTAACTTGTGTTTAACTTGTTATTTAATGGGAGAACTGTTCATTGGCCACAGATGACTACTACTAAGAGGCTCTCTGAAATCTGTTTTGGATTATGAAGAGACAGTGAAAAAAACAGGCTTATGATGACACCAGTTCCATTTGAGGTTGCTTTTGTCCTAAGCAGTAATGGATTTGTTTGGCACTGGGTGCTGCAGTTATGCAAAACAGTTGCTCAGTCATCATAGGTCACATGTTCTTTAAATGTATTAAGCAAAGATGAAAAAGAGGTCAAATCTTTATTTTTGTCAAAGCTTATGATTTTTCTATTTTTTCAACAATCCTTGAGAATCCCTGAGAAGAAGGGGCATGGAAATGCACTTACAGAAGTTGACACACAACCAGAAGTTGACAAGTCCAGTGTGCAAAACACAGTGTGAGGCCTGCTCCAGGGAGCCCCAGGCGTGTACTTAAAATAGGAAATGGTTATTGGAACTAAATTATTTTGCCATTTTTATTTTTAGGTTTGCTGGCATGGGTAATCTCATTAAGGTGCTAACCAGGGACATAGACCACAATGCAGCACATTTTTTCTTGGATTTTGAAAGTAAGTCTCTCAGCCCTTCACAGCTGGTGCATTTCAGATAGTAACAGTAGGGTTGCTTATACCTGCTGCAGTGAAGGCCAGGGGACTCAGTTGCAAATCTGGAATTTGAAAGAGTTGCATGTGTTTTTTTCTGTTCCTCTTTTCTTTTTTTTTTTTCTCCCCTCCAGTTGTAGCCAAGCCACCATCATGCTGCTGTGTAAATTTTCTTTCCATGTGCTTAGTCATTTTGGGTTTCTGTGGTCACTGATGTCCATCCATCTGCCTGCAAATCAAGTAATCATGAAATGGAAAATTCTGTCAGTATGCCATAGTAATCTGTGCTGAGCCGTTGTTCACTGTAATCCTCTCTTAGACAAGAGTGATCCGACTTTGGTCATTCATCGTGCAGTCAATGTGCGTTTTTAACATGCAAAAGTCCAAAGTGAAACTGTCTGAGCTTCACAGATGTTTTGGGCACCTTGTGTAAAAGATCTGTGGCATACCTGTGTTAGCATTTTCTGCACACTGAAATGATGCATCTTGGTGTGACCTTGATGATCTATGATGGCTTTCTGACAAAATTATAAGGGCTGACAAAATTAAAGCTCATTCCTTCTGTTGTCCCATCAGGTAAAAATCTGTAGCATGGCTAATGCTTGCAAATATGGTATTTGGCCCTCAAGGCAGTACTCCTGCTCAGGACACTGGTGCTAGGGCGTTTTGGGACGGAATGAGTCACTGGCAAAGCCTTTGTTTGGATTCTGCCCCTTTCCAGAAGGGGAGCTGTGAAGATGCTGGTGACATGGTCACTTCTTACAGGAAAACTGCATGGCTGGGACCACCAGCTGTACCTCCTCGAGGTGTGGGGGTCTCCCCTCACCTATCAGGGCGGCAGCCTGAAGGATGGGTTCGTGCCTGATGGAACTCTCTGGTCTTCTTTCCCCCTACTGCTTCAATCAACTACATTTGGGCTGTTCCTTCTTATAAAAAGAAAATTTTCTTTTCTCTCATTCTTGTCTTGGCAGGTACCTTAACATGGGGAACCTCCTAAAAGTTTTGACATGCACAGACCTTGAGCAGGGGCCAAATTTTTTCCTTGATTTTGAAAGTGAGAAGATGATTTTATATATCTATTACTCTTTGCCTGCAGTAGACTGCATTTGTCATGTACTTAATGTATGTTTTCATTTTGCCATCCTTCTAACTGCTTTGTATGCCTGAGCTATGGATAATTGTTCAGCAAACTTTGATATAAAGCAATAACCTGTTCTAAAATATCCTCAGGTTCTAAAATGTAAAATCTTTATTTCAGAGAGGGCTTTCATATTATGTTTTACTGTTGAAACCTGATATGGTTCTTATTTCTTAAATTAAAATTCTGCCTACTTTAAATCAAAACTTTAAAAAGAATTGGAATTATTTGAAAACTTGCTGAAATTGCAAGGAGATGGATGCATCTTAAAGGAAGGACTGAAAATGAAACATGATTCTCATCACTTCCACTTAATAATGCTGTATATACAGATTTGCTCACAACAGCTGTTCATAGCTCCAGCATCATCACGTTAAAGGTGTATATGTGAACCTTATTTGATTTGGCACTGAAATTTAGCCTCATCCCTTCTTAAAAGGGGATCTCAGAGTGTATAGAAATAAAATTTCTTTTGAAAAGAGATGTGACTTGGCTGATCAATGCCAGGTGTTATAGAAGGTTCACATATTGTCTATATTTCTGCTTTTAGTTTTTGTTGCATGATACAGTAAGGCCTAAGAATGGCAGGTAAGTGTTGCTGGCTTCTGCTATGCATGTTTAATTACTATCTTTTGGTATGTGCTGTTGCTTTACCCAGCTGTACATCAGCAACCTTAAAATTAAAAAAAATAATTCTCAAGTGCATTTTGACCATGTTATAAAATACAATGAAACAGTGTAAAAAAAAATTATTGAAGTATTGTGATATGGACAATTTGAGATGCATTATATCTTCTTTTCTTCCCCTGAATTATTTTCAGTTGTGTTTGATGAAACAGTAGCTTGTTTATATTAGTTATAATATGGAAGCAAATGCTTGGAGAAATATGGTTTTGCTTCGATGACATTTAAACTTACAACTTCTCTAAACCCTTACCTTATAATGTTGATTTTTATCAGTTGTCTCTTATGAGTATATTGTTATTGGAAGATGATTATTATATAAGTTATTCATAAAGGGAAGATTAATCAAAGGCTGTGTTCAAAAATCAGGAAACAAAACCTCTTTAAGACCAAATCTTGCATATTGTCAGAATAGATACAAGTTAGTGAAGCAGGGAGAACTCATAGTGAGAATTTTCGAGCTGTGAAGCTCCAGCTTAATCTGCAAATGTTCAACATTTAACTGGAGTAAATGCAATTCAAGTTAGCTGGATGGAAGAGGCATAATTCTTAAATAAATTGCAATAAAAATTGCTGTGGTTTTTTTTTCTTTTTAATACAGATTCTTTAGCTGTCAATTTTGTTTTAAAATGCATGTTTTGAGCATGAACAAGATTTGGCATGAGAGTAAGCAGGTTGCTGACATGAAATGTTTACATACGCAGTTAAATTAAGTGACTTATATTATGGCTGAATTGTTAGACTGTTCTTTATTCATTTTGGACCCTGTCCTGCATTTGTTTCTGCTGCTATACTGTGTATCCATGCTTCTTTCTCCTCTGTTTCAGATAGCTTGCCTTGACAGGATCTTGGCTTTGACACAGTCAAGATCTTTCTTCAAGACTTGGCACTTTATCTTGTGATACTTAATGTTGTGTTTTTATGTGGAAGGACAAGTAAGCTCTGTATTAAATACAAATTTGACAATTCTGTGTTACGTCTGGGCCAATAATAGGCAGTTGGAAGGCTTTTGTTGTTTTGTTCTTGAATCCCTATATATGTATATCTTTGGAGTCAGCAGACTAGTTAAACATTTCTTGTGAAGTACCACAAAGAGCTAAAAATCAATGTCCATAAAGCTTTATAGTACTAAAAACTTCAAATCTAGAAAGGTTTTAGACTGGGTTTCTTACTATTATTTTTCCCCCAGATATTTGTCTTGGTGCTAAATTCTAGTGACTACTGTGGCAGACTCCCAGAATGTATGCAAAAAACATTCTGATAAATGATATGATGGGCTGTTGGCTTTCCTTTGCCCCAGCACTGGTTAAGCTTATGCTTTCTTTGGTCATTCACCTTACCTATTTGAAACAAATAGTTGTCCTAAGTATTCTACTGAAGTCTGTGCAGTGCCAGTTGAACGTGAGCAAAGTGCACAGCTTTGTAAGGGTGATATTGTTCACGTGAAACAGCCACCTGTAATGTGGGAAACTTACAGCTCAACTTTTACATTAGAGTCATTTCTGTCATGGTGCAAACCCTTTCCAAATTTAGTGATTTGAATAGTAGCTAAAATACAGTGTACTTTCAGATGGTGATCTCAAGCTAGGGCTGACAGTGTTCTGTATTACCCCCAGAGAGCTTGGCCAGGTTTCAGAGGAGCCACAGAGACAGTGTTCTCCATAGTAATGCTGATAGAGATGAATAAATTATTTCATCTCCAGCAGTCTGGGATTTTTCTCTCCCTTGTTTGTGAGTTTTGTCCCAGACAGTTTCAGATGATTTGACGTGTTCTTCCCTGGGAAAAATCTTGAGTTTAAGTAGTGTTTGCTGTGCAGTGTAAACTTTTAACCCCAAATTTCTCTGCCTACTAGTTCTGTAGGCTAGCCAAATTTTTTTTAAAATAGTCACTAAATGTGTGTGTTCCCCCTCATGCCATATGTTGTCATATTTTTGTAGTATTTAGTTCACATAACAGTGTTTGTATATTGTTGCAAGTCTGCTCTTCTGTGTTTAATACTGTATGGTGTGAGCATTCTAAACTCTAAGTGTATATTGCTTTTAGCACAGTAACATTCTGATTAAATTTAAAATTAATTTAAGGATGAACTCCCCACTTGCTTGCAGGACCTCAGTCTTCCCTTTTCTTACTACTGGATTGAAAATAAGAAAGTTGCCCTAAAGAACCAGGGGTCAGCTCCCGTGGCAACGGTATCAAGCCTCAGAACATCTCAGTGAGCTGTGCTGTGCTTACTGTGTTTGTTCTTTCTATTGTCCATAGAAAATGGAGAACCATTTGGTTTTCCAATGGAAAAGCATTGGTGGGTAAAGGCACGGCCTTGTTGTAACATTGTAGCAGGAACTTAAATGGATGTGGGGAAAAGGGAAATCCCTGACACTTTGTCTCCTTCATGGTCCTGTTTGGATGCCTGGCATTGCTGGCTGCTTTTTCTTAGTTGCCAAGAGTAACTCTAGAAGTACAACTCCCTTTCCTGCTCTGTGCCCTCCACATTGAGGAAAACGAGTTCCACAATTAGTGATTCTTGAGCCAGTCCCGTAGCTTGAGTCCTCAGGTACATACTGAGGGATGCTACTCCCATAATATGGGAATGGTACCTTGATCTAGTCAAGGTGACAACTGTGCTTAGGAAGAGGGAATTCTCCTTCTTTCTCCACCTGTGATGGGCTTTCAGAATACAGTGCCCTGACCAGCACTGAGAAGCAAATAAACCATTTGCTCTGGGTCAGCCATCACTAGGTCTTGAAGATTTTCTGTATCATGCTTTTTATCTCTATCCTAATAAGATCTTAAATGTATTCTGAAGGGATTATAAAAGAATTCAAGTTTGCTTTTTAAAATTGAGCTCTCTTCTAGGTGGAAAAAAAATTACAGATGGCAGAGGAAATTAGTTGGGACAAATCAGGTTTACAGATTTCTTTTATTGGAGAGGACTAGATCCACCAAATGAAAGGTCTAAGATGAAATACATACCAAAATAAATAACTCAGTACCTACAGGGTTTTAAAACAGTTTGATATTTAGAAGTTAGTAATAATCAAAACAAACAAACAAGCAAACAAACAAACAAAAAACCCACCACTCCAAATTGGTTTAGGTTTTCTGGAACATTTTAGGGAAATGAAATGCAGTAGTTGGCTGATTACATCCTACACTATCAGGGGTGATGAAGGTGTTGACTTGCCTAGCCAGCTGTTCAGTGAAGACCACTAAAATTGTATCTGGAAGATGGGTTTTGTTTCACGGAGGGTCATAGAACCGCAGCTGCTCTGCTTGTTGGTGTGTTTTGAAATGAGGAGCAGGAGTTCTTGTGGGCCCTTCTGCTCTGCCCTCCCAGTGTCGAAAAATGAGCTCTCCTTACTACACAGGGTAAAGAAAAAATGACATGAAAAATTAAGTAGGCAGGAGATGTACTCAGTGTGAGACGATCCAAGTGACAAGTCTTGATTGCATTATTTAATAACACAATCTGGAATGCTACAGAGCTTCACGTTTTAGTCTGTATTTCACTGTAGCATTTCATGTTCGTGCATGAACTGCTGCCAGTCAACTGGTGCTTCCCTGTCTGCTCTTTTCCCTCATTTTTTGTCTTCATTTCTTACAGCAGTCTTCAGCAGCTTTCAAAATTATGTGACTTTTGTGATGATTTGAAAAGCACTGGCCACTTTTACTCGATGCCTAATCAATGTAGTGCTCTTTATTTATTTTTAAAGGAGTGACCAGCTTTTTTTTTAACCTGTGCTAATTCTTGATGTTTCTCAAAATATCAGTTAAACTGTTGCAAGGTCTATATGTAGGCATATTTGCCAATAACACAGACTGTCTATGCAATAAACCATAAAAATAAGAAGTATTGTGCAAAAATTACAGAAAAATCCATAGAGGCAATGCATGTGAAATTTGTTTTCTCTTAATACAAACTTCATTTTCTCTTGTGTCTTTCTAGTGTGAAACACTAGAATACTGTGGTGGTTTTATTTCAAATGTAAAGATTTACCTAACTTCCATGGGAAGTTGTACGTATGGGTCATGGAAAAAGCACTTTTAAAAAGACATTTTCCAGACTCCTTAAACTGCACAAAGTCATGAAAATATATTGTCCTTAGATAGCTTTTGTTTGTCCCTATAAAAAAGAATCTGTTGTTAATACCGTGATTTTTGGCATTGGAAATAGTGGACTGAAATACAATGATATTTATTTCATAACATATTTTCCCCATGTAAAGAGAAAAGTGGGGGGTTTTTATTGTTTTGTTTTTTTTTTTTCTTACAAAAGCTTCAGTAACTAACAATTATTTTTTTAAATATTAGTCTAAAAGGAACTAACCTTGTAGATTCCATCAAAGTTTTTTTAAAAAAAATATATTTCATTTCAGGTAAACCATGTCCAAGATATTTGTACTAGGTGATTCTTTTTAAAAGTTAAAGCCTTTTGTTGATTCTTCTCAAAACATACTTTTTACAGATTTGCCTTTCTTTAAAAGTATATGTATAGCTTTTTGAAATTATGATCAAATATGCATTTGGGAAGTCCTTATTAATTATAAAAAACGTGAGACACAGCATATATCTTTAAAGACAGGACAAAAAAAACCCCACAAGCTCACACAAGATCTTTTTGTTCTCAACTCTGTGCAATAAGTGCAATAAAGAATATGTTTTGAGAATTAATTATATTTAGAAGTAAAAGATATGGCTCCTTTCCCGGCTAGTTAAAGATGAGGCAGAGAAGATGGGAAATGACCTGATGCAATGTTTCTAGATAACAATAGACATGGACACCTCCTCTGCTATCTGCAGTGAGTGTGTCTGAGTGCTTACCTAAATCTCTTCCAGTGAACCTGTACTGCACCCCAAGGTGAGATTATATCATAGTCATGAAGACAACTCATCAGGATTTCTTCTCCTAACTCAGTTTTAAATATGTCAGGAAGGATAGATTCTGGGTGGGTTTTTGGGATGGTAAATGAAGCTAAGAGACTACTAAAATGAATAAAATTACTCTCCTGGAGTTCCTCATACATTGTAGTAGCTCTTCAGGGAATGGAAATTCTTGATGAGTTGCTGCATGAAGAATTTGTCCCATAGGTGATGGTGTGCCTATTGAATTCCATATTGTTGTTAAATATATATATATGCATGTAATATGTTCTGCTGTTTAGATGCCCAACCTACAGAATCTGAAAAGGAAATTTATAATCAGGTGAATGTAGTGTTAAAGGATGCAGAAGGAATACTGGAAGACTTGCAGTCATATAGAGGAGCTGGCCATGAAATACGAGAGGTGAGCTAGAGCATTACAATTGTGCACAACCTGTGGTTGTTCATTGATCCTAACCAAATACTGCTGGGTTTTAACTTTGCTTGCAGGAGCTGTTTTGGCAGAGCATGTTGTCTATTAAAATCACTGTCTTGAATTTCTGCTCTGGAATGTTTCTTTTTAACAGCGAAACAGATGTCGCTTGTTTCAGTCATATTAATCCACATGTGTAATAGCAAATGATGCTTCTCAAACTTTTCAGGCAATTGTTGCTATTGATTTTTCTTTGTGTTCCCACATGAGCTCTTCTTGAGTTAGTAGTGAATTTAGAAAGAGCGTGGTGTGACTACAGTGCAATACTGAGTAGTGCCGACATCTTCTTGTGCGGTAATTGGAGAAGTCTGGTGTGGTAATCCTAACACAAAAGACATCTCATTTTCAATCCCTTTTAGTTGGCTTTTATTTACTACTGTAGACATTTGGAGAAGCAAAGTTTCTGTACAGAATGTCACTCCATTTTTTCTTTATGTTTAAGAAAGGATGGGATAAATCCTTTCCCAATCTCCTTTCTTTCTTCCTCACATGCAGCAATGGGGGCTACTCTAATCCTGAAGTTAGGAGTTACTCACTGTAACATACCCTTAAGAAATAGTATTAGATAGGAGGGCTCTCTGCTGTCTCCAGACGACATTGAGATACTCATAGACATTCAGCTTTGAGAGTTTTTTTCTCCATTGAATTCATCAAGTAGGTTTAAGAAGGGTAACTGTGTCACACAAAAACCCTTAGGAGGGGAGATGGCTTACTTGTTCTTTAAGGAAGGAGCAGGATCAGGGAGAGGCTGTAGGATCAGGCAGGAATTTGTGGTTCAGTGAGGAAGCCTGCAGCTCCCCTGGAGAAAGGAGAGGCACTCCTGAGAGGAGGGAGGCATCTCAGGAAGGAATCCTTCTAGGGACCAGAGAGGAGTGTGATGCAACTCACAGCCCAGGGTTGACCAAAACGTATTTCGAAATCAAGGAGTTGACATTGAAAATGCAGCAGGAGAATTATGAACATTTTTATTTCTCTTTTCTTAGTATATTTTCAGTTGCTAAGTAGTTGAGTGCCTATCTTTAAAACCTAGAAAGGTTGAATTTAAGGTATTATGTTTGGGAAGTTTACTGTAAAGACAAGATCTATGCATATATACCTCAAGGATCTGGTGCACACCATGTCCTGGTGGTGCTTTATGTTGTTGATTATGCTTAAATGCTCCTACTGTAATATTTAGCCTGAATTTCACAGCAAAGTTGTTGATATTTTTTTTTTCTTCACAAATTCAGGAATTGGTGATAGAAACCAACATTAGGATGAGGCTTTAATTACTAAACTTTTTTGCTTGGAGGAACCACAATGAAATTGCTGATTTTAATTAATGAGGTCTGGTTACGTAAATTTTCTTATCTGAGTAGCTTTATTTTTAACAATTTCTTTCTACTCTCTCCAAGTTGTTTTCCTGTTCAGGATACTTACTTTCAACACAATTACTTAGACCTTTTTGGAACAGACTTGGGTTAGTACAGGCTTGTCTCTCAAGTGGAAAACCTCTCAGTAGGTAGAATTTTTAATTATTAGATCCTCAAACAATTGTCCTGTGTAGGTTTTTTTATAATTTTTTTAGTCAGCAGTGCATCAGTTAATCTAAGCATACTGTTTTCCTCTCCTTTTCTGATTTAAGGCAATACAGCATCCCAATGATGAGAAGCTGCAAGAGAAGGCATGGGGTGCAGTTGTGCCACTAGTAGGCAAACTAAAGAAATTCTATGAATTTTCTCAAAGACTAGGTAAGTGGAAAGGTATTAACTTGTGGGGTTTGTCTTCATTAATTAGTATATTTGGCATATGTGATCACATCTAGGTCAGCTCCTTAACAGAAAAAAGCTTATGTTGCATAGATTCCTTCTATACACTGGATTAGATCTTATTTATATCTGTGTACTACCTTCTTGCATGCAACAGCAGACTTGCTTCAGTGGGTACCTGAAAGGAGAGAGAGAATGGGAACATGCTTGTCATCTTTCTTCCCTACTACTTTAGTAACTCCAGAAAGCAGTAACCAGCTGATTGTTTGAAAATTAGTGGACTAAATAATCCAGGAATTAGTTCTGTTAATGTTTCTCATACCAAGAGAATTTAAAAGTGTCTGTATAATTTGTCCCTAAACACCAGAAATAATTTGATCTGTGGAAATGCCTGGTCTTGGTTCACACAGTTGCAATACTTAAGATGGTGCTTCATACCTCTTATGAAATCAACTTGACTGATGTGGTGGCTAAGCTGATTAAACCTATTAGACTTGTTTTTTTCAAAAACTATCTGTTGTTATCTCACTTTTGATCAGAGTTATTAGCATAGCTCATGAAAAAAATGAGTTCAAAACATGGAAACTTTTTGCAGGCAAGTTCTGCTTTGTTAAAGAGGTCAGGCATTTTTCTCAAGAAGATGAACAGGAAGTGGATTATGAGTTTATCTTAAGACATGACTTCTGCTTATAGTTATGTGCCTCTTGAATTCTGTGTTATCTTAAAGGCTTAAGTCTGCTAACACAGGTTATTGAAATATGTTCTACACAAATGTTGCAGATGAAGCTTTTCAAGAACTTTTTTTTGTGGCCATCAGTGCTGGTGTGACTTAGTCTGTAGAGCAGTTTGTAAGTAAATATGATGAGTGACACATAAATAAGAAATAAATTGCTTACATTAACCACCATGTATTTTGGCAGATGTATATTTTAAGTCTAGCATGCAAGATATCAGCCAATAGAGATACGAGAAACAGATGCAGTTGTATATGGCAAAATACTGTCCTCTCATTTTAGAGGCAGGATTGCGAGGCCTGTTGGGAGCCCTGACGAGCACTCCGTATTCCCCAACGCAGCACCTGGAGCGAGAGCAGGCTCTCGCCAAGCAGTTTGCAGAAATCCTTCACTTTACACTCCGATTTGATGAGCTCAAGGTAAGAACTCGTAGTTTTGTAAGCACAAAGGCTGGCAAAAAGAAGCCAAGTCTGTTTACTGAAGCAATCCAGGTTGTGTTCTCTTCTAGAACAGAGTGTGCAGTACATACTCAAAGATCTAGTGTACTTGGCTTGCTTGCATGACCTAGAGTTAGATTAGACTGGAAAGAGATGAAATAACATATTTGCTTTAGGCACTTGTTATATTTCAGATCATATTAATCATGTTTCTTCATCCAAATTTGGCATATCTCTTGGGATACTGCTGCTACTCTTAGTTTGTGCACATGCATAATCCAGCTATTTTCTTGCTAATGTGCAAAGAACTAAGCTGAAATGATTATTAATTTGCTGGTCTGATCCTTGGAGTCAAACCTTTTCAGCCTGCTAATTTCCGTCTCCTGCTCCTTTTCTTTTTCCTGTTAGATCTTGTTCTGCAAAATCTGAGAAACTAACCAGAAGGCTTTACTTTGTGCTTATCAGTTCCCAACATGTCATGGGCCTTTTTACTTCAGGAAGTCAAATATTTTCTTGTTTGGAGTATTATATTTTATGAAAACTTGTCCTTATTTTTCTTGAATTTGTCACAACTCTCTTGCTTCCATATCTATATAGATGACAAATCCTGCTATACAGAATGACTTCAGCTACTATAGAAGAACTCTGAGCCGTATGAGGATTAACAATGTCCCAGTAGGTAACCCTTGGAGGAGATGACATATAATCTTATGCTACCACCCCTCTTCTTCATGTACAGAACAATTAAATTTTTTTTTCCTCCTGTTTTGTAGGCAGAGGGAGAAAATGAAGTAAATAATGAGTTGGCGAACAGAATGTCTTTATTTTATGCTGAAGCAACGCCAATGTTGAAAACCTTAAGTGATGCTACCACAAAGTTTGTGTCAGAGGTAAGAGTGTAAGTGTGTGTCCTGGATAGTGTGCTTCAGAGCACCACAGGGCCAGGCATTATTTGGAACACAAAACTTCTACCAGGCTTAATTTGACATCTAGAAACCAGACTTGTTTTTTGAAGCTTCAAGAAATGTGAAGTATCTTTTCCCGGATGCTGTAGAGGTTAATGACTTCAGCCACTTTTTGTGTCACCAAAAGTTAGTGCCTACCATCACATCGGTGCTTATACCTTTCCTCAAAGAGGAAGGTGGGACAGGTAAGTATTTTGCCTCCATTTTGGTGGTGGTTTAGAGCAGAAATTACAGAAAATTGAAAGCAAAACAGTTTGATTCTGTATGCTTGAAAAAAGGAATGGAATTGAAATGTAGCTTCCTTTTCTCCTTCCCAAGAGAAGGTTACACTGTGTAAAGTCAAGTATACTACATTATTGCAAAACAGGAGGAATCTGAATGGGAAAAGTATTCCATCATTTTGACACATCCCTATTTATGCTTAATTGCCTAGATAAATATTGGTGGTAAAATCCAGTCACTGCAAGTATTGTGCTTGCCTTCTGGTGACTGTGATGATTTTTGGCTTACATGCAAAGAATGCACACTATTTCTTAATTAAAAATAATTGTATGTTACATGATTAATGCAAAGATACATTTGTCTTTTAATATTTTTTCTAAGTTCCGCTTTATGCTTGAAATGCCTCAAGAAAATTGGCCTCTTTGTGATGTTTGTCTGCTACAATTTTTTACTGTCACGGCAGATGAATGTATTTGGCTATAGAAATTTCTGTCTTTAAGGAGCAAGTTAAATGATTCCTTTTAAAATTTACCAAAAGTCAGTCATGTAAACTTGTAGTAGTGACTACACTAAGCAAGAAAAACCTGTGTGTTGACTTTGTTCTGGAAGTTGCTAACCTATATGGTAACATTTAAAAAAAAACAGTGCAAGACTACCTGACTTACCATAGTTGTGTTGATGTTTTTAATTCCCCCACATTGCCACGCCAGCAGATCACTGATTTGATTTAGGTTTTGTAGCACATTTCACAATAATTGAATTGGAAACTGTTAATCTTCTTTTGCAGAATAAAAATTTACCAATAGAGAATACAACAGATTGCTTAAGCACCATGGCCAGTGTGTGCAGGGTCATGCTGGAAACCCCGTGAGTATAAACAGTGCTTGTACTGGGTGTGAGTCATCTCTGTATCTCAGCCATGACTTGCGATGCATAAGGTGAAAGAAATATAATTGGGGTAATTAGGAACTATGGTGTTTTCTTTTTACCAGCCTAGTTGTTTACCTTGACATGAAACTACCTTGTCTCATTTTGCTAGCCATGCAAATCATGTGGTCTACTTTTCTGAACATATTAATATTTAAAAATAGCATGGCTAGGGAAGCTAGACAACCTCTTGGCACTCTTTATAAGTGGTTTTCTCATGTATAATTCAGAGAAATAGACTATTTGAGCATGATTGCCTAGGGCCTCCTGAAAAAGGGGCTGTGGGCAATGTGCTAGATGGTATGTCCTTGTGGGCTGGCCCAGCTGATGGCTGTAACAAAATGACAGTGCCCCTGTCTGGGGAATTAAGAGATGATTTCTAGGCATGAAGGCAGTCTGTTGTCTCCTGTACATTGGAGAGGCACTGGGAGTATGACCAAAAAGTCAGACTAAGCTTTAGTTTTTGGTTTTGGTTGGGGTTTTTTTGTTTGGTTTTTTTGTTTAGTTTGGTTTGGAGTTTTTTGTTGTTGTTTTGATTTGGGTTTTTATTTTGTTTTATCTGTTTCTTCTGTGTTCTAAATAGTTTTACATTGGTAAAATTACTTGCGCATGAGCTACATCTTATTTAAATAATTTTCTGTCCAAACACCACAGCACATTTGTTTTGAAGTACATTAAGAGCTCCAAACATTTATATTCTTACCCTTCTTAGGAATGGACTGTTCCATTGAAGAAAGCAGTTAAACGTTGTTCATTAGCTTGCTTTCTTTACCTTTTTTTTTCCCTGAGTCAGAAGTTTGGGTGTGTTTTATAGGGTGGCAGGCAAAAGTGTAGGAAGCATTGAAAGCAAAGTTAGTATGTATTGTTTCAATCTTTTTAGCAGCAGAATCCTTTTTTAGGTTTGAGAATCTTTATTAATCTTCAGGTAACTCCTTCTAAACTGTTGTCTGATTTGTAGGCAGGTTATTGAAAGGAAAAAAGAAAACTACCAAAAGCCTGGAGTTGGTGGATTTGGTTTTTTTGGGCAGGGGATTCTTTTTTCTCTCTGAGGACTTAGAGTAGACTTTTTAATCTTATTTTGGGTGTTACCAGTATGTACTCTTATCCTGTGTTTCATAGATAATATCTGTATTTTTAAATTACAGTGAATACAGAAGCAGGTTTACAAATGAGGAAACAGTATCATTCTGTCTGAGGGTAATGGTGGGTGTCATCATACTCTATGACCACGTGCATCCAGTGGGCGCTTTTGCCAAAACTTCGAAAATTGATGTAAGTTTATTGTTGCTAAATAATCTCTTGAATATTTAAATTGTGTAAAGTGTGTAGGTTCCTTTTCTGTCTTTCAAGTTCTAGTAGCGGATGTATAAGTTGGTTTGATGCTAAATGGGTAGTGGTAGCTGTGAGCAAAAATATATATTTAAGTAGTGAGAAATACAAGCTAGGCCTTCAGTCATGTAAGGGGTTGTTGTTAGACATGAAAAATCTGTTTTTATGGAATTCAGGTAGTGTCTTAAAATACTTGTAAATAGTGGTTGTGCTGAAAGATCCAAATCAGAATGACTGAAAACAACAATGGCATCTGGCTTGGTCCTCACTGTCTGGTAAATAGCTCAGTTCATAATCCACCAGCTTTCAAGTGTTTAACTTTCTACTGCTAGTTCATGAGTCTGTGGAATACATGCTGTTACTGTATGTGGCTTCATGGTTGTTTAAAATGGTCTCTTATCCTGTTGTAGTAACTACAGAGTTGGTCATTATTTCACTGACTGAGTGTAGTAATTCTTAAAGGATTTATGATAAACAAGTATTTTTGTTTACAGTTCCCTTCTTTTTTTCTTGAGGTCGATAAAGCAGAGCTTGACATGAAAATTGCATTGTCTAAAGTTATCGTAGAATGGTTTGGGTTGGAAGGGACCTTGAGGATCACCTAGTGCCAACCCCCCTGCCATGGGCAGGGACACCTTCCTCCAGACCGGGTTGCTTAAGGCCCTGTCCAGCCTGGCCTTGAACATTTCTAGGGATGGAGTAGCAGTCTAAAGCCGTTCTCCCTCATGCTATCACTCCAAGCCTGTGTAAAGTCTCTTTCCAGCAATCTTGTAGCCCCCTTTAGGTACTGGAAGGTGCTATAAGGTGCTATATATATATATAAGGTGCTATCCCCAGAGCCTTCTCTTCTCCAGGCTGAACAGCCCCAACTCTCTCAGCCTGTCTTCAAAGGAGAGGTTCTCCAGCCCTGGAAGCATCTTCGTGGCCTCCTCTGGACTCTCTCCGGCAGGCCAAGTTGGGGACCCCAGAGCTGGGTCCAGGTGGGGCCTCACAAGAGCAGAGTAGAGGGAGAGAATTGCCTCCCTTGACCTGCTGCCCAGGAGATGTTTGGCTTTTTGGTTTTTTTGTGGGGTCATGTTGAACTATTTGTCCACCAGTGCCCCCAAGTCCTTCTCTTGGGCAGCTCCCAATCCATTCTCTGCCCAGCCTGTATTTGTGCTTGGGATTTCCCTGTCCCAGGTGCAGGATCTTGCACCTGGACTTGTTGAGCTTCATGAGGTTCACACGGCTCCACTTCTCAAGCATGTCCACGTCCCTCTGGATGCCATCCCTTCCCTCCAGCATGTTGACTGCACCACACAGCCTGGTGTCATCAGCAAACTTTGCTGAGGGTTCACTCAGAATGCAGCTTTTTAAGTAGCTAAGCCAGTCTGTCATAGGAAAATATAATACTGAAAGCTTAATTCCTTTCTAATATCCAGAAAATGTCTTTATGGTTCTGCTATTTTTAAATACTTATTTTTTTCTTTTTGATAAACTGAATATAAAACATTTCTATAAACTCAGAAGGTACTAGCATGAAAAAAACTGTATCTTTTTTTTAACTCCTAGATGAAAGGATGCATCAAAGTTCTTAAAGACCAGCCTCCTAACAGTGTAGAAGGCCTTCTAAATGCTCTCAGGTACTCTTTTTTTGGTTTAGATTTTGCTAATATTTTGATGTGAAATTTCATGAATTGTCCAGGGCATTTTCTTCAGCAGCAAAGTAATCAGTCACTGTTACAGGGAAAGGTGAATGTGATTATTGCAGGCTTGTCTTCCAATTGTCTTGAGATGAGAGTGCATGAGAAAGCGAGTTCTAACAGCTGGGTTGTAAACTTGAAGTTGTCATGCTAAGATAGCTTTTTGTGTACATTACCTGCATGCAGGTTAAGAATGAGTCAGTATGGTGTGGCAAGTAACTATAAATTGTTCCTCTTTCAGAAAGTACTTAAGGCACAAGTCTCAATGCTTTTGCTTTAGAATAGATGAGGCAAGAATTTGCCATATTAATTGGAGAAGTAAGGAAAAGTTAATAATTCAGTGTATGAATCTAAAACCTGCTAATTTGGGTCATAGAGCTGTATCTATAGTCAGAAACATGTTCTTTGCATGGGTGTCCAGCATTGGAGGAGTGGCAAAAGGTGCCAAAATGTTATAGGCAAAAATGTTCTTGTCCTTACTTGGAAAAGTATCATATTACTTTGGTAACAGATAAGTGTAACTGGATGTTGTTACTCATGCACTTGCTTTGGAATGTGGAAGCTTTAGTTTGTCTTGCCTGAAAGTGTGCATTTATGATTGCTTTTTCTTATCTGTAGTGAAACTGCTTTAATTTCATTTGGCCTCTCTTTATTTTTTTTGTGTTATGATATGGTAAGAAGTGAAATAATGTGGTAAGTGGGTTCATTTGCAAAGTTGTTTCAGATTATTAATTAAATGAAAAAAATATCTACACTTAATTTGAGACTTCATGTGAGTATTTCCATGCTAAAATGATGTTGTTGATCATTTCTGAACTTCCTTACACGATCAGCCTTTGAGATGGTGATCAGTAAAAACACAAACTTCTGGAGGGAGAAGACGGCATTAGCATTTATTTTCTGGCTAGTTTATTGTGATTGCAGTTAGAAATGAACACCAGTCTTTACGGGTACCTAATTTTTCCCATCTTCGTTGACACTTGTAAAGTACATGGAAGGTATAGTTCTGGTTCTCACTCACTCACTTTGTGGTTAGCAGTGTAAATTCAGTCCATGCTCACACTGACCTTTCCCTGCACCAACCCTTTCCATCCATGGATGCTTCAACAGTCCTGGTTTCATACACTTGATTAGTCATTTGGCTAGGATGTTCAAATGTTTTTTTAAATCACTTTTGGCAATGTTAGGAAGAGATGTGGGGGTGAGCTGCTGTGTGATGGAAGCAGGTTCAAGATTATGTCATGCAAGTTAAGTCCAAATCTGAGTGATTCTGGAGGAGTGTTAGAAGTCCTCATGTTTCCTCAAGAGATGGATAATATGTTTCAAAAGCAAATGGAAGGTGGTAAGGATTTTGGAAGGAGATCAGCTGTTTGTAATTTGAAATTCATATGGGCATTGTAATCATGTTCAGCTTTTTCACATGGGCAGAGTACCAAGTACAGTAACTTTTCAGGATTTCAGAAAACCTTAGGCTGCTTGTTTATGGAAAATATAAATTACCAAAGAGTGCTGAAATCTACATTGATATTAATTTCCAAACTAAAAAGTCATTATATATTCTTCAAGTGAACAAGTAAATATCACTGCAGTTGTGGATAACGATGGAAGTGCTAATTTAACATGTTAAATTACAGAACAAGTTTTTATTTGCTTTTAGATTAGTTAGGGAAATCGGGGAAATTAATCATACAAAGAAACCAATATTAAGGATATACATTACTCTTTTAAAAATAGAGGTAACTAAGCTTTTTATAGGGATTTAAAAATGTGCTATTGTCCTAGAGAATTTTGAAGGGGAAAGGAGCTGAAATAAGCACACACGTTCTCTTGTTTTAGCAGCAGTCACTTAACTAAGCAGGAAATTAGGCTGAAAAATTATTAAATCCATTGTCATCGAGAGATCTTAGGAAGGTTTGATCACTGGAAGTTTTGAAGAGAAGTTTCTGATGCTGTTTTATTTTGTTTCCTGTGGGTGGAGACCTCAGAGTTAGTCTGATGTTAGTCTGTCACAGGTGATAATATGAATTTACTATGAAATGAACTATGAGCACAGAAGCCAGTGTCCAGCTGAGGCTTCTTTTGAACTTCTCTTTGTGCAAGGTTGCTGGGTTATAATTCTGATTGATAACAGCATTTTCTGATCAGAATGTCTGATTTGTGCTCTGGGTAACCATGGATTGGGTGGTGATCGATGGCTGAGGGTTTTGCTCTGGTACAGTCAGGTTGAACTATTAAGAAATTACATATTTGTTAAGTCAAAGTGCAGTAGCATCTCTGCTCATCTCAACTTTTATTTCTGTGTTTAGGTACACAACAAAGCATTTGAATGATGAGACTACCTCCAAGCAAATTAAATCCATGTTGCAATAACAATTACCTGGAATTCGCACCTGCTGTAGACAGTATTCTGCAATGACTGAGATGCACAGATTTATTTTTTTTTTAGTGATTGCAACTACTATCTCGTTCATTCTTGCTTTTTATTTTCTCTCTTCCTGTTTACCCTTTTTTTTTTAATCACTTTCTTGTTCCTAAGTAAGCTCAGACTTCTTTTCTGTGCCAAATCAAAGAAATTTATCAATTCTGGAAAGTATTTCTACTTTTCAGAATAGCCATCCTAAGTGGCAGCTAATTATGCGTTGCATTTGGATTTCTCTGTACTGGGGAAAGATTTGTGACTTGAACTAAATATTTTTAAACTTGTGGTTTTTTTCTTTTTTTGAAAAACTAATATTTAATATTGCTTCTTCTGCATGGCAAGACTGCCTACTTCTGCTATTTAAAAATCCCTTGATGACTTCATTTTCTATTGCAGCTTATTTTCATGTGCAACCATGAGGAAACTAAAAGCAGATTTGTTTAAATTAACTGTGTTTGTACAAAATGGTACCCAACACAAAAGTTTTTTTAAATGAGTAAAAACTGTTTTGTTTAAAAGTTACGTTTGCATTTTGACTCATTTTTGTAAGGATGTATGTTGTATGTTTAACCTTTAATAACTAACGTTAAACTGTGGTGTGTGCGTAGCAAAATTACGTATGCATGTTCATGTCAAATGATTGGCTGTGGATAAGATAATAAAATCAGCTTTCATTTTTCTAAGTGTGGTTTGATTTACCAGTATTTGAGTGAGATGTCTTCGTGCTCTTTGGATTTTTACAAAAAAAATAAATTTATAAATTTTATATAGTGAAAACTCTGCTGTTTCATTACCAGTAATCACCAGCCTAATCCACTGATTTAAGCCCAGTGTGTTTTAGGGTTCTTGCTCTCCACTCTGTGCTGCATCCCTGTCCCCGGAAATATTACTCAGAGTTTGTGGAAAGGAACTTTTTGCAATCCATATAGATCTCTGTGGATGTTGCTGATTAACTTGCATTTTGGCTACCCATGCTGACTCCTCAGTATGGTCATCAGAAATACCATTCCAGATTAGGCTCTTTGCATACCAGTGGTGGGGTGCATGCTGGTGTGTACACTTGTTGATCTAGATACTTGAACTGTGTATATCCCAGTATACTAAATAATGTTTCTTCTTTATGTGGCATTTTAGAGCAACAAGTGTTAAATAGAAGAAATTAAAGTTCTTTTGGGAGGAAAAGAATTAAAGGGGAAAATGTGCAGCTCTTCAGAAGGACCTCGGCCGGTTGGAAAGTCGGGCGGAGAAGAGCCGACTGAAATTCAAGCCAGGGCAAGTGCAGGGTCCTGCACCTGGGGAGGAGTAACCCCAGGCACCAGTACAGGCTGGGGGTTGTCCCTGGGCCAGCAGTGCCCTTGTGGCCAAGAGAACCAGTGGTCTCCTGGGGTGCATTAGAAAAACCATTGCCAGCAGGTCGAGAGAGGTGATCCTGCCCCTCTACTTAGCTCTGGTGAGGCATCACCTGGAGTGTTGTGTCCAGTTCTGAGCTCCTCAGTGCAAGAGGGATGTGGAGCACCTGGAACAGGTCCAGCTGAGGGCAGCAAAGATGACTAAGGGACTGGGCCATCTTTCTTATGAGGAAAGGTTGGGGGAGATGGGCTTGTTTCAGCCTGGAGAAGAGACGACTGAAAAGGAACCTCATTGATGTCTATAAGTATCTGAAGGGATGGTATCAAGAGGACAGAGGCAGGTTCTTCTTGGGGGTGCAGAGCAATAGGGCAAGAGGCAACAGGCAGAAACTAATGTACAGGAGGTTCCACCTGAATATGAGGAAGAACTTCACTGGGTGGCAAAGCACTGGAACAGATTGCCCAAATTGGTTGTGGAGTCTTCCTCACTGGAGATGTTGAAAAAGTGTCTGAAAGCAATCCTGTGCCATGTGCTGTAGGGTAACCCTGCTTGAGCAGGGAGGCTGGACCAGATTGACTCACTGTGGTCCCTTCCAACCTGGCCCGTTCTGGGATTTTGTGAAAATGAATTGAGAATTACTAGGGAACATCTCTGGGAAATGGCATGTTTTACCTCGAAGGGCAAACATTAGTGCACCTCATGTGCATGGTGCTGTTGTGATTATGCCTAACGTGAGTTCTGGAAAGGAGACTTGAAACCTCCAGGCAAGTGTGAGCCCCTCAGCTTTATTTGCTGGACTAATGTTTTATAACTTTACATAGCGCACTGGTTGCAATACAAGGTATTAGTGTGATCATGCTGGATTTCCTGTGGATACCCCTTCTACACCATCAAGAAATATTCTTCTTATCTTTTATTTGTTTGGTTTTTGAAAGAAGAGATCTGCAAAATTGTCAATCAGGACACTTGAAGAGTTTGAAGGAGGTTTAAGTGTGTATTGTGGGTACCTGTATGTCCCTCTCACCTGGACATTTTTTTCTTTCCTGCCAAAGATGCTTAGCCATGGTCTCTACCACAGAGAAACCAACCCAAGTGCAAGGCTTGCAGTAGGAATAAAATACTTTTTCTTTGACATAATGCTGCTCTCTAGTCCTTTTGGCAATATCATAGTTGTATCAATCTGAGGAAGGACAGAACTAGATTTGTTTAGTTCTTTTTAAAAAGAAAAAAAAATATTTCCCAGAATTGTATGAATATTACAGACTGTATACAACTGACCCTTCTGCATGGATCTGAAAGAGAAACCGTCCTCATCAGTTCATTACCCTGAGGAAAAAACAACAATTTAGTGTCGGCCTTGTTACTGTGAATACAGTTAAGGAATAATAATCCCAGGAGGAGCAAACCATCCTCCTGTCCAGTGTTACTTTTTGGAAGTAGAGCTTTCTAAAGGAAACCTGAGTTACAGAGAATGGGTTTTAAGCACAGCTTGTGTAGTTGACAGTTTTTACTTCTGATTAGAAAACACTTGAAACAGTAAATCCAGCCTGGGTGCCGTTGTGGAAGAACCAGCCATACAGCAGATTTCTTCTTTGTCTTGCCCCAGTGGCTGCCGACTAAACACAATTTCTTCAGTCGACTGTTTTGGACAGCTCTTCCTTTCTGCTGCCCTGCCAACATCTTTGCTTTTAAACATTGTTGTTCTTGTGGTCTAAGGATAATTGGAGCTTTCCTTTTTTTCCTCTGGTATTTGTGTTCTGAAGTTTCTCTGTGTAGGCAGCTGGGAAGGGAGATTAGAGCTGGCTTACCTGGAGTTGGCTGGCCCACAGCTCCACAAGCTTTCCCCCTCGTGAGCTTTCCAGGAGAAGAAAACAGGCCCTCCCAGTGTACTAGGCATCAGCTGTTTGCAGTTTTGAACTGAAACTGCTGCATGTTCCTGCTAAAGCTTTGGTGCTTGTTCCTTGCAAACCCACTTTAATCTTATCCCCTTTGTTTTAGCACTTATATGTGGCAGTGGACAGGAGAGCAACTGTGAGGCCCAGCACTAAGTATTGGCCACCAAACAGCTTCTGTGTAAGTTTTTGGGGAAAAACTGTGCTGTTTGGATGGCACCGCCCTAGTGTATGTGATACCTGGAGTCTTGGGATGCTGGGCTGGGTGGCACTTAATGGTTTAAATAAATGCTCTGCTCAAATTGGCCATCCTCCCTGTGCTGTGAGTTGGTGTAATCACCCTGTGGCTGTTGTGGGTGGAAGGCCTTCTCCTCATGGTGCTGTGTCTCTGAGTGTAAATGCTGTTGCTCCTTTCTTGTGAGTCTCAAATTCTGGGTACAGATGTGTCTCTGGGGGAAACAGATCCACAGTGGTGTGTGTGATGTGTGTCACAGGCAGTATAGAGGCTGCATGGCTAAGAATGTTTGCTGCTCCCAAGCTCTGAAATGTTTCTGCAGTTCTTTAGTAGTAGCCTACTTGAGTGGTGTTGATATGGTTCTTTAAATTTCACATAAAAAGTAAATTATGGAAATGTTTCTTCTAAAAAAGTGTACTTTCCTGTCCATGCCTTCTCCTGCTTATAAACCACATCAGGGTTTCATTTCACCAGAAATGCTGCCTATCTCTGTTTAGTTTTATAATGTTTGGAGCAGACCTGGAGAGGCAGGCCTTGAAATGGCTTGTCTTCCACAGCGGGAATGTGATTACTCTTTAGACTGCTGCTTCATTAGAAGGATACTCATCCTCCTTTTCTTTGGATTTTCTTTTCAGTGTTGTCTTACTGTCCCTAAAAACACTTAGACTTGTGAAATAACTAATGAAGTAGTGTATGCAGTCGCTGCAGGTTTATAGTTAGTTGTGGCATTTCAAGAGTGTGTCAGTGTAGAAGGTCACTGTGATGTTCCCTGGGTGCTGCAGACACAAGTAGTCACAAGTCCTGCTTGAGGTGGGAGCCATCCTTGAGGGTGCCTGTCCTGGCTGTGGTGATGGGGTTGCTTTTTTCTCAAAATTCTGAAATACCTCTGTGAAGTGGCTTTTTGTACCAAAACAGAGAACTAGCTCTGAATTACCAGGCTGTTTGCTCTTGCTTGCCCTTCTGGTCATTTTACTGGCCTAAGCCAAGTTTTCTCACCCCTTCTCCCAAGCCCGGTGTAATGCCTGGGGGCTGGTAGCAGCTCCCCATCTGGGGACAGTGGGACAAGGACTAAAGCAATCCCAGTATAAAGTTTATGGTATCAATTTGCATATGAATTTTGTAATGAATTGCTATCACATGGAGTAGTTAAAAACCAGATGATTGCAACCAACTCACTGCTCTGGATCTGAACAATGATTTGCTTCCCCACATGCTAATGACTCTTTCAGGCTGATCTCATCCTTCAGTTTTATTACTGTGATGTTACAAAGGTGCCTGGACAGGGTTACCTGTTCTGTCAAGGTTACAACACAAGAAGGGCTGGTGAGCAAATCTAACCAGGTATAAGCTGACCCTGTCTCTTGCATCTGTGCAATATTGTGGACCCTTTGTGTCATAGCTATAGCAGCGTGAAATGGGCGTTTGTGGGGTTGTATGGGGCAGTGGTAAAGTTATCTAATTACTACAGGGGTGTTACAAATTACAAGAATTGGCCAAGTAGAATTGAGCTTTCCAAGTGCTGCAGTTATTTCACTGGCAAATGCTTAAGTGCATGGTAGGCTGGCAACAAGTTACAGGGACTTGGTGTGTCATGAACATACTTACTGATGTTGCCCTTGAGCCCTGTCCAGAAGCCAGCACATTGTTGCAGGGGTCACAGGGGTTCAGTAATTGAGGTGAGGAGTTACAAGCACCTAAGGACCATGATAGTAAAGTGGGACATACAGGAGCTGTGGCCTGTCCTTCCTACCATGGGGTTCCCTCACTAAAGATGGCAAATCCCTTTTTATCCCAAGGTCTCTGGAGGAGTGTTTCTGCACGTTCTCCCCTTCCTTACCATTCAGGGTATATCACTGATATCCTCATTCTAAGAAGCAGGGAGAGCTCCTGTTGCAGGTGACATCTGTATGTGCTTCATGGCTTTGTTTTTTGCTGGTAACTATGCACACTGTGAAGTGACTGGAGCAGAGAAGAGGTGGCCTCTAGGTCACAGGAGTCTAAGGCAACCCCAAGTCAGAGCTGGCTTGGCAGGAGCATCTGTCTGGCCTGATCTGTGGCCTGGCCTACCTCTTCCTTGGATGCAGGCTAAGAAGAAACCGAGCTGTTTATTTTATTGTGGCTGCCCCATATTCTTGCATTGTGATTTCACATGTGCCCATTGTGTCAAAGTGATTCTTGAACATTGGCCAAATGACGGGCCAGTGTCCAGGCTTGGGAAAGGAGTATGTGTGCACATCCAGCTCATCCCACGGGCTGGAAATACATCCATTGTGTGAAGGAGCACATGAGACGTGTCCAAT